AAACGTCTCAAATATTGACCAACATATCAAGTTGTTTATATGCAAATCGGATCGAATTTAACGGATAATTTGCCCAACCCTACTTGCATTATCTAGCCTCTACATGTTGTCTCATTTTTGTAATCAACCACCTACTTTCAGTAAAATGTCTTTTATGAAAAAGATGTTAAAAATGAATTTTTATCCTGTGGATATCCAAAATCTTTCAAAATTATATATTCGTAAACCTCCTCTTTTTTAACACTTAAAGTTTCAAGTTTCCTATAGATTAGATGTCAAAGAACATTCGAACCTGATCCAGATGACAAATTTAAAGAAGTGAATAACTAGATCGAGCAAAGATATCACAATTCTATTTATGGCTAGACAAAAAGAAGTTGCAAAGGTATTGAAACAAGATTGAAAAACAAACCTTGAAACAAGATTATATCTATCTCTCCTCAGTAATCACCAGAACCGTAATATAGTCTATCCTAGAATTGGATATGGCCATTCTCTTCTGTCGCTACAGTTTTGGACAGTCTCCAATACGATATCAGATACCGTCATAGTTAGCACAACCCTTGACACCACTTGCCTTAGCAATTGTCTCTGCTGTCCCCATTAGATCGTTCAGCTCAGAAAGAATAGGCGGGATTGTCTGTTTAGCTTCTTGCAACAAGTGTTTCAAATCAAGCAACGTGGTTTCGCTTTGGTTCTTGTTAATAAACGTAGTCGCTATCCCAGTTTTACCACACCGACCTGTTCTTCCTATCCTATGCACATAGTTCTCAATATCCGCAGACATGTCAAAGTTGATCACGTGTTGTATATCAGGGAAATCTAACCCCTTTGAAGCAACATCGGTCGCGACCAAGACATGTTTTTTTCCCAGCTTTAAACGAAGAGATGGCATATTCTCTGTCTTCTTGATCTTTTCCTCCATGGATGGCCACTGCTTCCACTCCTCAACAACAAGTACTCATGAATATTATCCACATCATCTTTGTTCTCACAGAATATTAAAACCGGTGAAGCGGTTTTCTGCAAGCACTAGTGGAGGAAGACAATCTTTGCTTCTTGTTTGACATATTCAATCTCCTGGATCACATCGAGATTCGTAGCTCCAGATCTTCCCACTTTAACATTCACGGGTTTCACCAGAGCACTCGTGGCAAACATTTGGATTTTTGTTGGCATTGTGGCAGAAAAAAAAAGTGTTTGACGCTGAGACTTAAAATGGTCAAACACTTGTCTTATGTCATCTTCGAAACCCAAATCAACCAATCTATCTGCCTCATCCAATGTCAAGTACCTGCAAGCATCTAAGCTCATCTTTTTCTTAGCAAGCATATCCTTTAACCTTCCCAGAGTTGCAACAACTATATGAATACCTCTCTTCATAACCTCCAACTGAGATCTCATATCAACTCGACCAATACACAACAACCGCGGATATTCGGCTTCAACCAAAGGAGCCACAAACTCCTCAACAACTTCATAAGTCTGCCTAGCTAACTCTCTAGATGGACAAACAATAAGAGCAATAGGACCTTCTCCAGGACCAATAGGCATCCTCATCTGCTCTTGTAAAGCAATCATAATAATAGGCAGCACAAAAACCATCGTCTTCCCCGAACTAGTAAACGCAATCCCAATCATATCTATCCCTGATAAAACCACATGAAGACCCTGAGCTTGAATTGGAGTTGGTTGCACAATACCCTTCTCCTTAAGCTTATCAAGAATAGGTCTAGGAAACTTCATATCCTTAAAAATCTTAATTGGTGGTGGAATATCTTCACCATTCACTTCGATATTCAATTGCTTCCTAATCAAGTCTCTTTGCTTATTAGACAATCTTGTAATATGTAAAAGAGGTTTCCAACCAGTAAACAATGGCTCTGTATATGTAATACCTTTAGCTAATTCAAGAACAGAAGTAAGAATTTTCTTGTCTGATGATAATTGCTCCAATATCTCTTTCTCTTGTAAGATAATTTGCTCTGTTGCACTAACTTCTGGAGCATATTTCTTGAGCTGTGTTGCTTGGACGAGTAGCTAGGTTTAGCTTCGACGTGACTTCTTTTCTCAGCTTCTTCCTCTAACTCTGAAGCTTTTCACTTGCGTTGAAGAATCTTTTGCACTTGAATTGCTCTACGCTTCGCCACTGGAACATACTCAACGTAATCGTCGTCTTCTTCCATGATTCAGAATTGGGATCAGTAGCTTATGTTTCCCTTTCACAGAGAGAAACAAAATCTCTAGCGAAACCTAATCAATCTTCAATTCAATAGAATTTGCAGATCTCGAATTAGGTTTTGACTGATGGAGAAGAAGCAAAAAAATAGTTGGGTCACTAACCGACCCCAAACCTCCCTTTTTTTATGATAGTGCGGTAAAATAGATAGTGTTAGAGCATGATCAATGTGGGGTGTTATTGTTTTTTAGTGGGGTTTTTAATGGGTTGCTAATGGATTAAAAACAATTAAATAATCTTAACACCTCAAAATGGGGTTCTAATTTTAATATTTATAGAACCTCAAAAATAGAGTTTTAATTTTACATACAATACATATAATAAAAAAATCCTTAACACCCTAGCTTTAACCATTACCATTGTGGACTCAAGTACAAAAGAAGAAAATATTAAAAATGAATTTTCCTTCATGAGTAAGGATACTGGTTTTGGGTGTTTTCCTTTAATTTTTGTTTTATGGTTTTTCCTTTTTCTCCAGATTGATGGCAATTTAAACAAAAAAAAAAAATAAAAGATTGATGGCAATTGTATCGTGGCCTATATATAAAGAGGTCTTTTATAAAGAACAAACTTCCAACAATTAATATTGTTCTCCAAAGAGAGCGTAGTATTTAAGGAAAGATTTGCATAAATCTCTTCTCTTAACAACGGCTCCTTTTACGAAATCGAAATCTCGTATCAATTTTGGTATTAGTGACAAACGATCCAATGGGAGACGACAATCTTGTGTTGACACAACTCGCTCTCTTGATGGAGGAGGTCAACAACATAGGAGAAAATGTACGATCAAGTAAGGAAACAGTAGCAGAACATGGAGCTACTCTTGAAACACTCACGTCATACCACGAGAAAGAACGTACACACCCAAAAATTAAAACCGCATGGTTTTTTCCTGAACAAGAAGTGTTACTCAAACTATCGCTAGAGGTGGGCATAACAGAAATTTAGCTTAATTAAATCATTAATGAAATATTAATCATATTCGTGAGTTTCATGCTTTAGGATGGTGTTTAATTCAACATTTGTATGATAATTTAGCCCATGGTCAAATGTCTTTTCTTTGTTTTGCGTTTTGCATCTTTAATTTCTAGCATTTCTTATCTTCTAAACCATTCAAAAACACCATT